ATCATAGAGAAAAACGACTTCATATTTTTTTTTCTTTTGTGTGTTTATTATTATATCTCTCTGTTATTGTTAAATGAGAGTCTGTAATATGGATGTATGTCTATTTATAGGTTTGATATATTTTGTACATGTATTTTTTTTTTTGTATTAAGCTTTTTCTGATTATTTTCCCATTAATGATTAATGTAATCAATGGAGAGATGCATTTCTTCTTTTGGGGTTTTTGACAGACTTTTTTCACAAATATAATAAAAATGACAAATAGTTTTTTTTCTTTAATCTCAAATAGTTTTACTCCACGTACATTAATTGGTGAATAATAAATATACGAGACAGCGCACATCGAATGACATGTTGCGTAGCGTATCTTATTAATTTTGAATTTAAGATTGATTAGAAGTAGATGATTTACTAATTAGATATGATGAATGATACAAGTGTAAAATCCAAGGAGCAGTTAACTTCAAAACAAAATGTTTTTGCTTGGAGTCTTCTTAGACATTAAAAAGTTGAAGAAAAACTTAGATTGTGTGACATTGAAATGATCAAATGGATATTGCTAATATACCGGGTCGCATTCAACGATATATTTTAATATTTGACAATCGTTGCGTTAGCCTGCGTAGTACGTAGTTGTATATGACGTGTGTGCATTTCAATTTTTTTTTAGATTGTTAAGTAAAGTTTTCGTACTCTCTTGGGTTATTTAGGGATTTACTTTTTCTTCAACCGAAAAAACATTAAAACAGAAAAAGAAAAAATTTCCGAAGAAAGAATGGGATTTCAACGATACAAAAAAAAACTATCATAAATGGTAAAAGTAGTAGAAATAACCAAAAAATACAATAGAGTTAGCCTAAAGATGAATGGATTAAGTTCAATTATGATGTCTCACAGACTCACACTATCAAATGAATAAAAACTCTGGTTTAGGCTCGAATTATAATGGTATCTTTATCGGTATCATTTTACTAGTTTGGCATTTTATTATTTACCAAACTAAATCTTTTTTTTAAATTTCAAAATTTGGACCGAAATCCTAATCTTCGTGGATCCGGAGTCAACTTTAGTCTATTTCCTTTGGAAATTCTTTTTCTTCTAAATAGACTTGAACTAGAAACTTCTTCTCAATTTTATAAAAAAGAAAACCAGCCACTTGGTATTTTCATTATTTGTCATTTACTTCATTCACGCAAAAATGCAAATGCACAAAACAAAAAATCAAAAGCTTATTCTATTTTTGACCTCTCAATATTTTGCGATAATTATAATGATTATAGTCAATATTGGTTGCTTTCAAATTGGAGAGCCTAATAAAATTGGCCACCTAAGTTCTAAGAATAAGATATGGTAGCCGCGGTTTCTTTTCTGTTTTTTGTGTAGATTTTCATAAAAAATACTTGGTGTGGACCGACGGAGAATAAAACGATTTTTATTTTGCAAATTATGTGATTGTGGCATTGTGCTCAGATACGATTTTGAACTAAATACTAGAGTTTATAATTCAAGCAATATACGAATAATCAGCCCATTATATATATTGAAAAGCCGATAAATTAAGTTATGAAACTAATCCAAGAAAACCCTTTGATTGTTCAAGATTATAATTCTTTAATTGTTTATCTTGAATATATTTTATATATAATTGAACCAAATTACAAAACCGGATAACCCATAAACGTAATCTAAAAATTTAACGGGAAACAAAACCAATATGATTTAACTCTTA